CTTACAACCATTGGTGGCCTCCCCATGGTCATGTGATCAACTTTATTCACGTGCTTGGCAACTGGTTCATATTTATGACAGTGGCAGTGTCCTGGGGTCATGTGATCACCTTTTGGGACCATCTGACAAGCAAAGTCAATAGGGAAGCCAGATTCACTTACCACCCGTGTTACTAACTTAATAACTGCAGGGATTCACTTAACAATTGTGGCAAGAAAGGCTGACAAACTCACTTTACAAATGTCTCACTTAGCAACAAAAATTTTGGGTTCAATTGTAGTCGTAATTCAAGGACTACCTACATGTCCATAGCACCAGTCTCAAGATAATAAGGGATTTGGAAGATAAACGTACAAGGGATGCTTGGAGGCAGCATTCGTGTTTTACCTGGACAAGAGAAGCCTGGGATAAACTGTAAAGTAGACCACAAGTTTCTGTCAGTTAAATGGCACAGCAAGTTAGCAGTGGGAAGGAGAGTTGATGTGCCCAGAGATAGCTTCACAAGCATGGCGGGAGGTTGTATCTTGTATCTTCCCTTTAAAGAAATCCAATGAATTCCACTATGTAAGAATTCCTCAGTATTTCAAAAGATTCTAAAATAGCCTTGTTCTTAGGTAATAAAACTGAGAGCTTAAGAAAGGTTCTGTCACACTACCAGCCACAATAATCAATATTAGTTTAATGGACTTTGCAGTTTCTCATGACTATAATGTTAGTTACTAATATTAGGACTTATGGTGATCAATAACCAATTAATGACATTCCCACATCCTTGTCAAATTTGTCTCAGTCTAGGAACTTATTTTGCAATGTACTAACTGTAGCAGAGTTCTGTATCAATATCAATTAAACTTATTTAAGAAAAATGCATGCCACTAAATTAAGAGGTAGTTAGTTATCTATCATACCTGCTTCATGGATAGTGCATCTACTTGTGAGAGACACAGAAGAATATAGACAACTTTGTGTTTTTGTAAACAATGGCAGGTGAGAGTGTACCAACTCAGTGAGTTGAGATGGTTTATCAGTTACTAGTAAACAGTGGAAGCAAACAGTAGGAACAAAATAGGACAACCATTGGCACTGAATCATGAGGCAGGCAGGCAGCCTGGGCTACAAAAATGGAGATGATCATTAGATGGAAGCTAAGAGACATAGAAAGGCTGCCATGTATTATTTTTGTAGCCAAGGAATAGCAGTACTCCCACTAGAAGGTGGTCACCACCCCAGTAATTAGCCAATGCAGCATGTACAAAGCCAGGCCATGCTCAGCTCACACACGGAACAATCCAGTTCTTTCTGGAAGTCTTCTGTGCAAGAACCCAGTACTATAGAAAACTTTTATCTCCCTGCCACTTTAAAAATCTCATGTTTTCATTTAATTTTCATCAGCAGGCTTGAATGCATTTGCATATTCATTAGATATATATATTTTATGTGGGTATTAGGGGATCAGAAGAAGCACTAAGATGTATAATCTATAACTTAATTAATGAAGTATATGATGCACAACAAATTCAGTTTGAAAGCTATAAAAATTGTTAAAGACAAAAGTTCATGCTATATCTCTTCGGTGTAAAGGTTAAGCCTGGGAGAACCTGATTCAAATCCTTTCTCATCAATAAAAGTTGATTGGGTAACCTTTTGTTCAGTCACTCTATCTCTCACTCTAACCTATTTCACAGAGGAATTATTAATTAGTTTTGAATAACTATAAAATCAGTAAGGTTCAAGGCAGGTAATTGTGAGATAAAAGTGGAGGAGAAAAAGAGGTGTTGTGATGACCCAGGGTGGGATACAAAAGCAACAAAGTCATAAAAACAGGTGAAGTCCCTTTAATTCCTTCAACTTGGCTTTAAAGGTCCAATTATCATTGACTGGGGGGGAAAAACTCCCCCCCACAAACAGTTGTGAAAAGGAAGAACTTCTGTTCAAACTCAAAATACATATACTGTATATTATAAATAGAAAAAAACAACACAAACCACACTGAAGAATTAATGAGACAAGGCAGGATAAGGGCTTGAAGATATCCACAGATATCGAAATACATACACTGGGAAGGACTCCAGAACTCAGATAAGAACAGACAGACTAGAAATATTTTCACGCTTTGCTTCCAGCACTGGCCCATGAGCAGTTTGTCCTTTTAAACAGTCCTCACAGCTGCAGCCCATGAAGGGGATCAAGGCCCCCGTAGATCATGCTATTCACGTTTCTCCCTTATCCACCCCTCCCTGTGTGCCCTACGATGAAGAGGGGATGGGCCTGGGTCTTCCTCTGAATGCCCAGCCAGCCTGTGCCCTTCCCCAGTTTCCTCCGCAAGCAAGCAACCTCCGGAGCTACACTCCCACTCCCTGTCAGTTGTTCCTCCTCTCCCTTGCAGTCAGATTCTAACAGGGGCATGACAGGTGTTCATACTGATTTGAGTTCCTGGAGGAAAGTTGGCATATAAAACTAACTAAGCATCAGCAACTCGCTTTAGAAAGGATAGCAATTTTAAGATAGTACTTTTAAAAAGTAGGATTTCAATTTCCTTGACTCCAACAAATATTGTAGAAATTGTAGTCCTAAAGCATTAGGGACACCAGGTTTTCTATACAAGGGTTTACTGATATTCCCTATATGGAAATTCTCTAACTTTTTTCAATTTATTTGTTTTGCTTTAATTTGGGGAAATTAGTAACAGTGGAATGCTAGCCGCAATAGAATAACAGAGTTGCTATGTCCTGAACCAAGCCATGCCCCATGCTGCATCTCTCTGATCAATTATTTATCCAGATGAATTTAGGAGCAAGTTATTATAGCAGCAGTATCATAAATCCACCTAATCAACATTGATTCAGTGAACTTAAATTAATGCCAATCACTTCCTTATTCAGAGGTTGAGCACTATCTTTTTCATTACTACAACACCAAAAGAAGGAGCTCACTCAGGGGTGGGATTCAAAAATTTTAACAACTGGTTCTGTGGGTGTGGTTTGGTGAGTGGGCGTGGCTTGGTGGTCATGTTACTGGCTGGGCGTGGCCAACTCAACATCATTCACATGGAGGCATGCATCTCCTCGCCTGGCCTCTCGTGACTGTGGGGATCCTGCAACAGTCTTAAAGTGTGAAAAACGGTCATAAGTCACTTTTTTCAGTGCCACTGTAACTTTGAATTGTCACTCCACACAAGCAAAGGAGGAAAAAAAAACCTCAAGAGAAGTTCCTGAAACAGGAAGTCTAGTCTTGCCAAGAACGTAATAAGGGTTAACGGAGAGGCAGTTTCTGTAAGCAACACCAGAATGTTTCCTTCCTGCCTTCCTTACAGGATTAGGCCAGTAATTTCTTCTAACAACCGGTTCTCCAAACTGCTTAGAAAGTTAACAACCGAATCTAGCGAATAGGTGCAAACTGGTAGAATCCCACCCCTGAGTTCACTCCAATCTTGGGTGATACCTTATTTGTTTGTTTTTTCCTTGCAGGTTAATTTTTAATTCTATTAAAAAGCAATTTAAATTGGGATGGGGACCCATCTGAGAGTTTTGCCCTGAGAGTTCTTACAGCCCTGCACTGGCCCAATCAACTTGGGCAGTTGCTGAGACATCCAGGTGACTGTTATTACAACTTAGAATGCTAATTTAAGTAGGTATCTGGCACACTCCAAGTAAGAGCCACTGTTCTAGTTCAGAACGGTGACAATACCTGTGAATCACAGGCAGGGAAAATGGGCCGGCCTCTAATACTTTCTACTAGGCTGATGCCAATGTGGCAGAGTGGAAAAGGGTTGGGCTAGTATTAAAAAGACTTAGGTTCACAGCTATTGACTTTGACAGATTTTGGGCCAGTTACTCTTCTTTAGCTCAATTGCCTCTCAAATTATTTTTGTGGGGATAAATGGAAGGAAATAATGAAATACAGTGCTTTAAAATTCAACTTTCAATTTTAGACTTCAGCAGGTAGATTTTCAGTTCCAAGTATTTCTTGTTTAAATTGAACTTCTATTGGGGATTCAAATATGACAAGACTTCCATTATACCATCAGAATTTTCAGAATGGAAAGCTTATAGGTAAATAATTATTTGCAAACTCCTCAGAAGCCTAACTGAAACAGATTTCACTTGGGTTTGGGAAAAGTTAGAAATAAGCTCAAACGTCTGGATTAGTTAAATCCCTATCGCAGTTCTCACCACCCAGCACTGGAAAGGCATAGAGAGGGAAAGGAAGGAAACCGAGATGAAAGATCCCGAAAAGCTGAATGGGAGACGAGGTCAGCAAGTGGGCTTCCCTGGCGGCTCCCGTACAGCGCTGGTCTTCTTCTAGGGTGTCTGCCTACATCTCTCCCAGCCACCTCCCGCACCGATCCTACCCCGCCCGCAAACCTACCATCCCCGGAGGGTAGGGATCCTACAACTAGTAAATTGCCAGCTGGTAGGAATCCGCCCAAAGGGGTAGCGCCCATTTTGGAAACTTTCTATCGGCTTAATAAACCATTCCCTCTGTGTGGATGCCAGACTTCTGTTTCTCTCGTGGGGAACCTGGCTGCGTTTCTTTTCCGAAGAGCAGGCGCTGGTAGGGAAGAGGAGCGGCACTTGTGGGCTAGCCTCGGCTTGGGAAGTGGGGATCTTCCCCTCGAGGGAGAGGGGCGGGATGCTTCGTCGCCTCAGGCTGCCCAATGCCTCGAGCCGGAGCCATCTTCTCAAGACGGGCCTGGCTCAGCGGGAGGGACGCGGAAATCCGCGCCTCACCCCCTCCGTCCTCGGCCGCTTAGAGCCACGTTCGTGCCTCCGTTGGAAGAGCGCGCTTTCCTCCGGTTCGTTGCTTTCGTCGCCCGCGCACCCGGGAGGGACTGCATTGCGGATACCTCTGAAGCGGGCAAAGCAAAGCGCTCCCCTCGCCAAGAGGAAGAAAAGGAAGCGGGGGACGGAAGAAGAGATGAAGCCGAGGGCTTTCTGCACCCGCGGCCGGCGCTGCAGGCCAGCCGCTTCGCGCCCCCCCCCCCCCCCCCCCCGCCTTACCTCGTCTTCCTGTGATCGCTTTCCAGAGCCATGCTGGAGGCATGAACGAACGAAGCGAGACTCGCGGCTGTTGCTCCGAAGCCTGTGAGACGACACGCAGGGGAAGCGGCCGGTCCGGCCTGGGCAGACTCCGCCCCGCAGGTGTCTCGCTGCTCCTACCTGAACCGCGCTGCGTAGGTGACACCGCTGCTCTGCCGCCGTCTGTTTTCTCGCTCCATCGCAGAGTTTCCTTTCAAGTTTGGAGGAAGGTGGAAGCCGACAGCGCCACACAATCACTCTTGCCCTTTGCTCTTCCTCAGCAATTGCTACTTTCTGCGTTTTTCCTGCGGGGGCTCTAAAAACCGTTGCCCCGTAGGAAAGATTTTTGCCTGCCCTCTGGCTAATCAAGCATCGCCTGTTGAGGAGGGGATCCAAGCACTCGCAGCCTTTACAGCAACTCAACTGAATTAGGCGAGTCAATATTACTACCTACAAGATGCAAGTGGCAAGGCTGGCACTGAAAGATTACAGATGGTCCTCCTTTAACAAGAATTGGGATCTCCCTGGCTTGCTAAGTGAAACCACAAGGACTAAACAAGATTATTCTGCTATAATATAGACGTTTACAGTTAGTCTTTTATGACCATTTTATTACTATTAAAAGTTACACCACCACTGAAAAAAGTGACATGCAACCAGTCCTTGCGGTTATGACTCGCAATATCTTTGAGACATACGATCAAAATTTGGGCACTTGTCAACTGGCATGCATTTATGACAGATGCAGCCATTTACAATCTTCTAAGGGAGCTAGATTCACTTCATGAATATGTGATTTAATTGCTATGGTAAAAAAATATAACATTGGGCATGACTCACTCAATTGCATCGTTTTGTTCCAGTTCCAATTGTGGTTGTAAATCAAGGATGTTTTACTACATTAACTGATGTTGTCAATTTAGACCAACTCAGAAAACAGAAAACCAAGTCAGAGCACTTAAGGTCATCCTTTCACAAGTGATTCAATAATTAAATCTGGATACTCTGACACAATTTAAGACCTTTTGATGACATTCTACTCAACTAAAACTTCTGTCTATATTGTAAAAGTATCCAGGCAGAGTTACTGTATACTAAGATGTTTTGCTGCCCAAACCCTAGAACAAAGGTTAAGGTATTTTCTCTCTTCGTTAGGTTTATTCTAACAGTGGTGGGAGATAATATGTTCCACATCCTAGGGTGGCAAGCTAACTTAGAAGGAGTAGACAAGCCATATAATCTACACTCTCCCGACTTCCAGCTTCATCACTCTGACAGGCTGTTGTTTCCAACCCCAATGATGTAGCTATTATTGAACCAACAGCCATCATAGCAATTATTTTCATGGGGAGAACCCAGGGCTCATTGGGCTAGCACAGGGGTATCAAACTCATTATGATATGTGACGTCATGTGATGTATCGCAACTTTCCCCCCCTTTGCTAAACTGGGGTGCACGTGGCCAGTGCGTGATACATCTGGCCCACAGACTGTGAGTTTGACACCCCTGGGCTGGCATATAGAAAATGATTAAAATAAATGAAAAAAAATCAAAACTACTATGCAACTAGGAAAGTGTCCATGAATGGAAGTACTACAGATTCTAAATAGATAGCACTAGACAATCTATTTCTGATTCTCATTTTTCTATTTATAATTATTTTCCCCTTGGTAACCCTAAACATGGTAAATACAAAGCAAGAGAAAAGCTATTATTGGCTAATTTCTAATGTGGCTTCTTAAAATAATATAACTTCTATTTTCTTTCAGGTGTTTATTTCACTTATAAGGAAAAAATAAGCATCATTAGGAGTGGGGGGGGGGGGGCAGTGAAAGCACCATGAGTTGGCCCAGCTGTTCCCTCTGCTATCAACTTTGTTAAAGGCCATGTCAGCTGCCACTTCAGGATAACAGGATGCCAATGGGTGAAATAAAAGTATCACTTTGTCAGCCTCAGCTGCTTCCCTGAAATGTGTTCCACAAACAGTAAGAGCTTTTCATGTATATCTCCTGCAAGAAACAAGATAGCTTCACTATCTCCCATTGATCTGTTCAATCCACAATGTAGTCAAACCTGCTTTTTTTTTAAAGAAAAAAAGTGTTGGTGAATAGGGAGATGGTATGAGGAAGTCCAAAGGGGAAATTCTTTAAGAAACTATGTTTAATAGCAAAGAATTACATAATTTTTATATAACTCAAGAACTATGTTTTGTATAATCAGATTTATATACATGAATTAGAATCCTATATTCTGAAATAAAGATGCAACTCAGCTCCCAGTAAATTAAGAATGCAAATTCTTCATAATTTTTGAAGTATTTTTTTAATGGAAAGAAAATATAGGTTGTTTGCTCTGTGGACATTGTGCATGGAAAAAGTCATTCCTATATATTCTTTATGAATGTTCAGGAAAAAAATACACAGTATTTTATTCTCCAAGGACTTCTCAAATTTTCATCAGATATTTTATACTGGCTTAACATCCAATGTTGTTTGGTGTCTGAAACAAATTTTGCAGTATTTGCCATGTGATGTTTTAGTAGTGCATTACAAAGAGGCTTATGGTTTTAAATTTCCAGGGGAAAAATTCAAGTCAGTAGTTGTGCGTTGCAAAATAATTTTGGCAAGTTCTATGATCATACTTCTAATTGATATGAGTTAGTGTTGGTCAATATAACTGACATTAGTAGCAATAGCAAAGCTACCTATAAAATCCAGATCAATGTTTCAAAGAAGCCATAGCTTTTCAGCTTTGGAAGCTATGGATAAGCCATACTGTTCATTTTATTAATGCCTTTGAGTCAATGTTGACTCTTGACAACTGCCTGGACTAGTCCCGGCAGTTTTCTTGGCAAGAGTTTGGAAATGGTTTGCCCTTGCTTATTTCTTAGGGCTGAGGGACTGACTGGCTCAAAATCTCCAAGTTGGCTATGTACCTAAGGCAGGACTGGAACTCATAATCTCCCAATTTCTAGTGTAGTGCCTTAACCACTACACCAAACTGGCTCTCTATATTGTTTATTACAGAGATATATTTTACAGCAGATTGGTTAGACAGCACGTTCTTTTAAAAAACAGCACTTAATACATAAAATGTTCAATAATTAGGATAAATCCGATGTTATTTGAAGCTGTAAAATAAAGAAATGGCAAAGTCTTTAAAAAAATTAAATTTAATCAAATTCTCATAAATAGTGGATTTGGAAAACTCACTGACATTTTGTGTTTGTTCACCTACACTTTTTTTTATGGTCATTTTTTTTTTAAATTTAGATCTACAGTTCAGAAACAAATGCACCTCAGCCAATAAAAATCACGTAACCTCCAAACATTGTAGAAATTATGGTGCTTGTGTTTCTAAATTGTGTTGGACTATAATAGACTAGACATATTTCAAAAAGCTACATTTTTCCCTTGATCATTTACATCCAGATCTCATTTACTCCCAAAATTTTCAAGTACAGCCAGCTATTAAATGGAAAAAAAACAAAAAAACAGTATGCTTCCCCAGAAGTGAAGGAAGGTCCAGATAGTTTAAAAGAGGTGACTATCAGAAAAAGAGATTTCATTCTAACAGTAAGATTGCAAGATGTAACCAGTCCACCTGAAGGGGTATAGCAAAACATCTTCCAGGGGCCCGCTATGATATTTCCACAAAAGCCAAGGGCTGTTTCATTTCACAGCAGCAATCTGGCCTTTCACTGCCAGCCCAGTGGTGCCTCAAGAGGAGGTTCCTTAGCAACTGCAATGTGATGCCCCAGCAACAATATTGCAGAGTCCATCCCTGGGGAAACTGGCAAGTCACTATCTAGTGACTTGCCAACAAAGCTTTAAGCCCTGAGGGGAAATGGACAGCCTAAACCAGGATTGGGAAGGGACAAAGTAAGATTCAGAAAAACAATATCCTTCTGTGAAAAGTGCTATCTCTCACAGAAAAAACAAACAAACATTGGGACACAGCTAATTTGGATGTAGCCAAGAGCGACAGGAGTTGTTGCAAACAAGGGCAGGAAAGTTCTGATCCTTTTCAGAAGGCTTCAGAAGTTCAGACTTGAGACTCTATAGCTGATCTTAGGAAAATTCCTTTTTTAAGTAGTTTAGGCACTTAAAAATGCTAACCAGACTTTCCAGCTCAAGGTAATTCGATTTTCTTTGTTCAATCACTTTACACATCTACAGAAAGCAACTTAAGCGGTTTTGAGTCACCATTTATGCCATTTATTATGCCTTTTCTCAGGCTGAATCCACAAATCACCCTGCTTCTTTATTTTACAGGTCCTCCACTTTAAATTCAAGAGAATTTCATTATCATTACCTCAATGATAATTTGGGGCTTCCTGCCCTAAATCAGCTTTTCCCAATTTGGAATGCTGTGGTTATGTAGTTAGCTACGCCACTCCCAAATCATCAGCATCAAATCTATCCATAGAACACCAAACAGGGCAAGGGATCCTACAAGTAACTAATGATATTAGTGCAAGATGACACATGCCACAAAGTACCTCACTCTCAGTAGGGAAAGCTTTTTAAATTAATAATGCAGCATCAGGGAATCTTAATGTGATTGTGTCTCAGGTCATTTCTTTAAATTATAGCTATGCTAATTTCACACGGAAAGGAAAAGGAATATTTGCTGATTTCACCATGCCCATAGACTTTGCCTGTGAGGTGTTTTTTTTTAATATTCTAGATCAAACAGCTTGCCATCAGCAAGTATGTTCTTAAATAGAACAGATATCAACATGGCATACTCAGTGCTTATATTCCTTATCTATGCCCCACTACAATGATTTAAAAATATGAGGTTCTAATCTTATGACTTGAATAATGGATTAAATCTAAACCTTGGATATTGTTCATCTTCCAACAAGTTATACCTGAAAAGTCACAAAGTAACTATTTTTCAAAAGCATTTCATATGGATGTGTTCAACTTTCATGTTTGGGTCATTCCTACATAGAATTTATTGGGGGGAAATCCTCTCCATAATTGGCAAAGCAGTAAGAAGAAAACAGATAATAGAAGTATGTTGGAGACAAAAATAGTCAAGCATTATAAGAGCTTCATTGTTTAAGTGCTATAGCCTTTTGCAGGTTTGCAACTTTGAAAACCAACAGCACTTTAAAAAAAAAAACATATATTATATCCTTTCCCATAAACAGTTCCTTCCATTTGAACCTTCTTTCAGTAAAGTTCCAAGCCTTTGTCTCTCTGTGGAGATGGTACTTATTCCTATACCTTATAGCCAGGGTCAAATTAAACCGAATCCAGACATCAGCAAATAATAACAGGCCTCACACAGGCGAGCAGATGGTGCTAGAAGAGATGGAACTGCTGCCTCTAAGCGTTAATCTCATGTAATTAGCCAATTTGGGAAGAGGCAGCCAAAAGACAGCTGATAAATTTGTGTTTGCCCATACAAATGCAAACATGCTACAGTCAGCAGGCACTGAGCAAAAATGAGCAAGTCAGATTTGAATTATTCAGGGGACACCTGCCATTAATCATAATCTTGCTTGGACAGGTCACCCAATTTGAGACTACAGCTCCCAGCCAAAATTATCTGGGCACTGATAGCACCATTTTACTGAGCCAGTTCCACACGACATGCTCAGGACATCAAAAGCCTGTAAGAGAGAGGCATCCAGCCTGACAAGAGCAATTTTTGTATGGTTGAGCAAAGACCCCAGGTGGTACTGACCAAGAGGCCATGAGGCAGCAAATAACCACCAATGTGACTGAAAATTGCCTCCAAGCAGGGAACATTATATCAGATGAGCCAGGCTTTCTTCCTGTCTGTAGAGAATTAGAGATTAGTACTTTATAGTTCTGAATAGGCAGAAATGTCAGCTACTAAAATTGGACACAAACTGAATCTTTAATTTTACTATACAGGTAGTCCTCAACTTACAACCATTTGAAGTGACAACACTGAAAAGTGACTTATAACTGGTCCTCACACATGTAACCATCAAAACATCCCTTCAGTCACTTGATCAAAATTCAGCAACTGGCATGTATTTACAATGGTTGCAATCACCATTTGATTACCATTTGGAACCTTGGGGGAAAAGGGGGGGCGGTGTGTTATTGACAAGCAAAGTCAATGGGGGAAGTTGGATTTACTTAATGTGACTCAATGACAGCAGAAAAAGTAGGGTAATTGAGTATAACTCAATGACATCACTTATTAACAGGAATTCTCATCCCAGTTCTGCTCGAAAGTCAAGAACTACCTGTATGACTCAATGCAATAAATGTAGCTGGGATCACACATCACATTAAGCCACCATTAAGTTGGCTATCTTTTGATTAAGATATTAAGTGAATCCATCTATTGTGTGTGTAAACTGTGGCTCATGGTTTACTTTAGGGTGTTGTGTGAAGACAGTTACTTTTAAAAAACCAAGTAAACCATATGATAGTGACACTACTATTCTTCATTCTTGTTTCCCTTGCACAAAGCTTTGCAAATTCCCTTTCTAAGGCAGCAATCCAAGGTTTAGCAAGTTAGCAGCCAAAATCCAGAGTGAAAAATCCACTAATTTCCATCCTATATCTTTCTAACATGGCAGTGCAATGCTTTGGACTGTTTCAAACAAGTGCTTCAGAGGAAACAGATCATGAAAGTTACACCTGTTTTCAATTCTTTAAACCAGTTATGCAATCCAGGGAAAGACACAACTGCTTTAAAATGTTGTAGAGAAGTGCAAATTTTACACTATCGTACTTTTAATAACTTGAGAAATCCATTGTTTCTTCCAAAACATAATTGTTTTGCTGAGAATTCTTCCCATCCAAACAATTCCCTTGAGAAATAAAGAACGAGACACATTTACTGAAGGAGCATCATACTCCTGCCACTGAGCGGCCTCAACAACTTGTTTATTTCACACTCCATTCACAGTGCCTAGAACATTTCAACCCGAGACAGAAAGGAGGCATGGACAGAGCTCTCCAAACCAATTTAGACCAAAATTAAAGTTGAAGGACATAACAGGACTTTCACTCAAGTAGAACCTGCAAACTGAAGTTGCAACATTCTATTATCCCACTTTATGAAGAAGAGCCTTGGTAGAAAACTCTTCCATGATGTTTATCAGATGAACTCTTCAAAAACATTTTTGTTTCATTGTTTTTCAAATTCTTCCACTTCCAGTTCTTTCTAACTTTAGCAAAACAGGCAGCAGTGATTTTTTCTTTCTCATCAAGGCCTCAGTATCAACATTTCATGCTGGTATGCACATGTGCTTTTAAATCAAAATTTGAGCTTAGTAACTGAATTTTTGTTACAAGTACATCAGCCATCCCCAACCTGGTATACACAAGATATATTAAATATGTAACTTCCATTCACTATGCTCACTCTGGTTGGGTGTTTAGAGGGTTATAGCCCAACGTTTCTGGAGTACCAGATTGGATAAGGTCATTCTATGGTACATATTTTGCTAGTTGTGTGTTTCAGTTTGTTGATTTTACATATTTTATCCTGGGGTTTGGGTTTTTGGGGTGGTGGTTTTTGTTTTTGTTCATCATGAAAAGGGACAAAAGGAGCAATGAGGACTACTGAAAGCTCTCCCTTAAATCCCAAGCTCTCAGGCACAAATAAAGCATTCAAATCCACTTTGGGGCAACACTCATCAACTCATTCCAATATTCAGCCATCTACTTTGAAGAAAGCTGTAATTCAGCACTAATGTTCTTGCTTGCTGATAAGGAAATTGGAAATTAAGAGTCTGAAGCAAGCAGTTCAGGTTGAGCATGCATGCAGACACCTTTCACTGCCAAATAGCAAGTCAGAAGCAGCTTTTCAAATTTCTTTAGTACCCAAAGATACCATGATGCTATCTAAAATTTTGATCAAGTAAAATTTCCACCTCAAAAAGCACTCATATGGCAATCATAAGTTATAGCCTAATTCGTTGGATGCTATTTAAAAACAATTCTTCAGTGAACAACATAGCAGAACTGGTCTAATTCCAGCAGTCAAGATAACTTCCTTTCCACGCAGTATAGACCAGGGGTGTCAAACTCACAGCCTGTGGCCCAGATGCGTCACGCGCTGGCCATGCCCACCCCCGGTTTAGTGAAGGGGGAAAAAGTTGTGATATGTCACATGACGACAATGGGTTGTCATGAATTTGACACCCCCGATATAGACTATATCCTTTTAGGCCTTAAGTAGAATCATTTCAGTGCCTTCTGGATGTGATGAACTTCAACTTCTAGAATCCATAGCTAAAATAAGTGAAGTCCAAGACATATGGAGGGCATCTGGTTGGGGAAAAGAACTCTGAACACTGGACACTTTTTCAAACTTAAGAATTAAATTGCTTCTTTCCTCCATGCCTGCCCACCAGCCCTGAAATCAAATTAAACTTATAAACAATATATTACACACTGTCATCATAGCCACACAACCATGTCACACAAATTAGCAGAAACATATGGCTTCAGAATTTATTATTGGAGGCATAGAGGCTATAATACTCTGGTTCTCTTTGCAGTGGGCACCTGCAGCGGAAAGAATGGGATTCCCAGGCTTCTTACGGGGATAGTGAGGAAAGGCAGTTTAGTTTATCAAAAGAAGCTGGGAATTTAACATGTGATAACTGACAGGTTTATTGATGTTCAAACCAGAAACAGCTTTGACCAACATTCCCACAGAAAAGTGAAAGATGATCTAAAGTTTCTATAGTTTTTTATCTATAATCTATGTATTAAAGCCAATTTCCCTAGCTACCAAGAATTTTTTCTAATCAGAAGTCAATTTAGTTCCAGTTTCAAAGGTATAAATAAAACAGGCTCTTTCTTTACATATTTTTCTATTAAAATATTCAGGAAAATGTCAATTTGATCATTTTTCAAAACTAAAAAAGGGAAACATATCTAATATCTAAAACACAACTATTTTGTATTAGTTTTGTATCCCCAACTATTAATGGATTCTCTTTTGGGGAATCTTTAGATTAAAAGTATTTTGAACAAGTAAAATCTGAATACTAGGGGGGAAAACTTCTTTAAAATTCCCACAACACAGAAAATAGAGAAACAAACATGTGTTTCAAGCTATCTCAAGATACTCAGTTATTACAGGGATTTGTAAAATCCTTTTTTTTTTTTTTTTTGCTACTATATTAAAATTTTGTGGCTCCGAATTCCTAATGTTAAAATGATGGATAATAAAAGTATACATGGATGTTACACAGGCAATTCCCAGGAGCTAGACTTCAAAGCTAGGTGTCTGCAGAACAGGCCAAACCATGAGATGCCATTAAAAAGAGAAAGAACAAACAACAAGTTTTTTAAAACCTAGTGTTTGAAGTTGGATGAGTGTTGGGAAACTGTACCCTTGATATTCTTCGGGAATGATTTTAAGAGCAGTGTCAGAAAACCATAGATAAAGATGGGTAGTTGCCTTATTGGATGATGGCAAAAAAATACAGGATAGGAAAAAAAAACATGGGATCTTTGTGCACAGACTTACAAGATATTCCGTAACTCTGGCACAGCCTCTCCAGTACAGGAACAAATATCAAACAGATCATCAGAAGGCATATTACTCACCTAACACAAGCCACCCTTTTGAATAGGGATGGACAACTAAACTGATTTCAAAACAACATTGAAGGAAAGAGAAGGGGAGAGTACCAGCAACAGAATTAATTGATGGGCACAAAGTTCAGCATTGTAGCAATGTGCACTGGCATGAAGAGGAGAGCAATTTGCAAACAAAAGAGCAATTTGTTTGCACACATGCAATCGTGTGAAATGGGAGAAGGTCCAACAGCACCCACCTGCTATGTCAACCTTTCCCTAAACACCTTGCCTGTCAGTCTAAGGATTGTTATTAAGATGCAGTTGGGCTCAAATGCCACCCTTGTTTTTGAGAAGAGAACAGAAGGTCCATTTGTTCTGCTCCCCCCCCCCCCCCCAACTGCCCCACTCCCAAGGTATTTTCCTCTAGCCAGCAATTCATTGGAGACATTCTCAAATCATACCATCACCACCCAACCCCAGTAGTTCCCCTTTAAATAAATGAATATTTATATAGAGAATTTTATATAAAACTCTGTTTCTTTATCACTCGTCATCAATGTTCTGACTCAGCAGGAAGTTGGCTGCCAGATTTTCATTCTTCTCACAAGCAAAATATGCCTGGATCACCAGACTCTCAGGAAAGCCCAGGGCCTTTAACTGAGAGGAGAGAAGAGGGAGAGGGGGAAAGGGAAGTACAAAAAGAAAGAAAGAAAGAATGTTAAATGTTACTTATGGCAATAATCTAGTTTTTCAGCAAGGAACCAATTGTCAGTAATTTTGTCATAGCATATTGAAATAAAAAAAATTGACATAATTGCCTTTTGAAATTCTACAGATACCGTAAATTTGTGGCTGCCTGCTTTCTTGTAACTCTGCTCTAGGAAGGGGAAAAGAGCATTCCATAGACACAATGGAAGAATGTAAATTATCATTTATAGGCTTAATATAATCTCAGGGTCTCATGTTTTTTGTACACATCACACATTTTTCTCTTGTTTTAAATTAAGAGTTTTCTTTAAAATGTGGAAGGTTTAACTGAGCTGATTTTTCATCTCTTGCAATGCTAGCTTAGCCCCATTTCTCCAATTCTCCTCATGCCAGTAGGTATAACTTCTTTCCAAAAAATCCCTCCAAATCCAAGAAGAATCTAATAGTGGTTTCGGAACAAAACATAAATAAATACATGCAATTAATCATATTTATGCAAAACAACATTAATTTTAATAATGCACTTTAAGTATAAACATTTTTTCTTGATGTTGCAAAATGATCAGTATTCTGACGTGTATTCCATTCAACTGAATTACAACAGATCAGAATCTCCACTAGAAGAAAAAAGCAGGGTCAAAACCCCTATTTCAAATGTTTTTGTCTTAGAGAAATATAATAAAAAACAACAGGATTGCAATTTCAGAGCTCACATTCCAATCAGCATATTCCACACAATTGATTCTCGTAGTCATTATCATCAGAATCTAGTCCATACTCCAGAATGACAGAAGGTGATTAGACTTTAATGCTGAGCAAAATCCATAAGTAATATTGCAAGCTCAATCCCTTCTGTACTGGTTGGACTAACTGTTGCTCTAAAGAACAAAAAGAATGATCCCTATTTTAACTGCTATGTCAGAAGTGCATGCCTTGAGGCTAGGAATGATTCATAAAGGTCCCTAAAAATTGAAACCGAGTTATAATTTTAATGTGACTGAAGAATAAAATTATTAAATACATGATGGAAGAATAGTATCAGCTACATTTAATTTTAATTGTGGGTTTTTTTTTTGTTTAACTCACTATTTTTTGAGTGCAATCCTAGCATGCCAGGGAAAGGTTCAAGTATACCTCCAACCCCAAATTAGCCATGCATGCCTTCACTAAACTGTTCTATATGACAGGAAGGAACTTCTTAGAAGCAAACCCCCTACTGAAAAAGGCAAGCCAAGAAAGACCAAGTATACCCAGAGGTCCTTCTTTCCTTGCCACTGCCCCTTCTTTCCTCGTTCAACATATTTACCCTTTCTATGGCTTCTTTTTCCTGAGGCGTAACTTGGATGTAGTTCATCTGGGGAGCTTCTTCCCCAATAGCACCCATCTCTCCCTCAATGTCTGCGATGTCAGCCATTTCACCCAGAGGTTCATTGAGCATCTGAATGAACTGCTCCTGATGCTGACTGATTTGCTGCGAAGGAAGAATGCTCACCGTTACCAAACACTCTCTGTATCTGTATCTGTGCAACTGGCACAACATGTAGTACACGTTGATGTAACACCCCCAAATCATTGTCTCCAATGCTGGGACTTTGATAGAACAGCTGAAGGGACCACACAGGAATACATGCACGGCTGATCTGTTTTCCTTCATCTGCTTTTTCCCATCCTTAGCCCTCTTTTTTCTCAAGTATCATGAACTTGCATCTGCTTTTCAAGCTACCCATATATCATTAAAAGCCATATTAAACTGCTGATTCATCAGTGACCAGCAAGACAGCCCTTGCTTAATTGCCTCGTTTAGCAACTGTTCAAATTTACAGTAGCACTGGAAAAGTATGTTTATGACCGATGCTCGTACTTATGACCTTAGCATAAACTTGTGATTGCCATTTGCACACTCCAAGCCAGCTTTGACAATCAGAGCCAATGGAGAAGCTAGCAAGTTAGTCACGTCATGTCTCACAAAATGACTGGGGTGGTTAGCTTAATAACTATAGTGGAAGTAAGATCAGAAATCTGTGATAGTCATATGAAGTCTCGCTTAACAACCATTTCACTTAGCAACAGTTGCTGGTCTCAATTGTAGTAACTAAGCAAGGACTAACTATAGCTAAATCTTCAGAACAAGAAAGAAACTGAGCCAAGATTGGAAAAAACATAATGTAGTGATCCCAAAAAACAAAAAATCAATCTCAACATAGGGTATATAATTGTCATAATCAAAGCCACGAGAAGAATCGAGAACATAACTGAACATGTGGCACCGTTTAGCAGATGAACCAGAGAAAGATAATTTGCTTTGTCTTTTAGATTACGATTACCCCCTCCTCCCCACTGAGAATCAAAGAGACTTCTGTGGAATCCTCCAAAAGCTAGAATTTCCTTCCACGATAGCTTACATTTGCTGCAATATTGCCAGGGAAGAGGGAAACAAAGAAAGTCCAAAGAAAGTTACCTGGAGCAGCTGAGGGTTCTCTTGGCCTAACTGCTGCAGTAAAGCTGGGAGCAAAGCTGGATTCTGCTGTATCACCTGCCTCATATTCTGAAACTGGGGCTGATCTCGTAGAAATTCCAGAGGGTTCTCTCCTGTAGATCCAAGGAGTATTAATGCCACACATTCAATCACAATGATAGCAAACAGGAAGAGGGCATTAGAATGTCTGAGGAATGTGCAGAAAGGAATGAGCCACTGTGCCTTCTAGCGTGAACAGCTATTCCCCACCACACTGTATCCTTATATGTACTAATTAGAATTTCTACTCAGAAAATGTTCTATGTGGGCATAGAACATTTTCTGAGTAGAAATTCTAATTAGTACATATAAGGATACAGTGTGGTGGGGAATAGCTGTTCACGCTAGACAACTCACCTTCTGGTGCAGGCGGATCTTGGGGCTGGCTCTCCTGGATGGGAGCTCTCTCAGGTTCTGGACTACCCGGAATGCCCTGCAAAGTTAAAAAGAAAAAAGTAGAATTACAAAACTATTCCCAGACTGGTTTGATTGATAAGTTGTCTAGAGTGGCTGGGAAACTGGGCATGAGCACACAATTACATCCAAGGGCAGAGCCTGCAGTCTTCTCTAAATTTCAGAATCAGGCATGGGTGGAAACTGTATAGAAAATTCATTAACACTGTTTCTATTATTGGCTCCAAAACCCAGGAAAACTTTCAGAGAAGAGAGAAAACATTTTCATTTTTCAAATCTCTCAGTCCTAAAATTATAGCCCATTAACAGCTACTACCTGCTTGTGCTCCGTTCAGTTAATTCCATTAAATGTTCACTATTTCAATTTTCAGGACTTAGATAACTTAATTTTTTCTGTATGAATGTTGAACAAAGAGTGTAAGACCACAAGACCAGGTAGGTTCACATGCTTTAGAATTCAGTTGCATAAAAAAGATTTGCTTTGCCTTCCCATCCTGAGTATGTTCTGTTAGACATTCATAAAACAATAGCTTCTGCTAAAAATATACAAGGAGACACCCACAGAGACATTAGCAATCATGGAGGCCTTAGTCATCCACTTCAATGCCTCACAATATTGTATACTGTATGACAAAAAATCTCCAAGACTCATTTTCAAATTTGTGTCAGTCAGTATTGCTGATATGTGGCTATCATTGAGATCACGACAAGAGATTAGTTGAAGAGAGAGAACAACTTTTTTCAGCTTCTTGTTAGATGCAGCAGAAGATACATTTACAAAAACAGAGACTGATTCACTGTATTGTGTGTGCAAACATCACCCCACTTTTGCAGATATGACTGAGTTAAACAGGAATATGCAGTCCTGTTCCAGATGTTTTGAGGTACAACTCTACATCTGACCCTGCCCACGCCTGTTAAAGTTTGTGAGAGGCATACTTCAAAATATCCAGAGAATCCAAGATTACCTACCTGACAGCAATTTATTCTGAGACACACCTATCACTCATGCAAGCCTGTTGTTCAGCCAGTGACCAACTACGCCATATATCTGTTTAGATAATCAAGTGCTTGGCAGACAGAACATTTTGATTGGCCCCTGCATTATACACTGGCAAGCATTGTGTGCAGAGCAGAAGCCTCTTATTTGATCACAGGACCTGCTTTGTCAAAAACTAGTGTCGCTATGTCATCTCAAGAAGTAGACTAATGGAATGAGGGAAAGGGAAAGGGAAAGCAACAAAGCGTTTGCAATACAAAAAAATACGATTCCTTTGAAAAAATGAAGAAACCTCCCAGGCATTTCAGCAGAATTCTTGAATAGACTAAATTCAGTAGTTCTCACCATCAGCAGGTATTCCACAGCTCGGTGTGGGTTGTTATAGCTCGCCCGTAGTGCTGCTACTACCCGCTCTCGCTCATAGCCCATTGACATGATTTCAGTCAGCATTGTCTCATATTCTGAGCCAGTAACTGAAAGTACAAACAAAAGATAGCTTTGTATTATTGGAAAGCCTGCTGTTACTTTCATGGCTAAAAGCTTCCCCCTTCTCTCCAAAGAGCAAAAGCAGGCAAGCTTGCCTTATTGCATTATCGAACAATAATATAAGCACCAACTCTCCATTATCGGGTCCTCAAATATTTTTGAAAGCTAGAGGCAAAATTCCAGTCTCTCCCCACCCACAAAAATTCTTAGTAAATCATTGTGCTTGGATTTCAGATGCAATGCTATTTCCTTCACAGAGATGGAGGTCCAATAATCAGGATTCCTGACTTTTAATCTCCAGGCAGCTTTCTTCCAGAAATGAAAACTGGAGTTCAGAATTCTTAGTTGCCAAAGCCAATGCTCCATGCTATGTTTTGCTCCTGTTATAACAGCCAGCAAGAGGCAATTAGGCTGAATTACAGATGAATCACCCAAAACATTTGAATATGAATGAAGAAAATTAAACTTCCAAAGCATCATTTGTTGATTCTTGGAATGTGGAATAAGAGCCACTTCAACAAATTTCATCCTCATCAATCTTCATCTACACTAATAGTTTTTAACATTTCTAGACTGGAGATAATCTGGGCTTAAGTAATTAACGTTTTATTTAAAAAAGAACTGAATACTACTAATTTATTGTCTGCTAGATCTAAGCGTAGCAGTAAAGTGGAAATGTTCATTCCATTGTGGCTGATGAACATATCTGATGTTTTGAAAATAGGTAGATATTCTCAAAAAATGATTTCATAGAGGACCCAACCAGTTACAAGGATCAGTTTATCACAGTATCACCTACTACTCTCTCAGCTCTTTCTTCCTGCAAGATACTTTCTGCCCCTTCTACTTGTCAGCGTCCATTTTCTGGAAAGGTAGGCAGATGTCATAATAACGTAATGGGCTAATCTAATCTTTTTTTAAAAGGGATCTATTTAAGAACCACAGACATTATTCAATTAAGACAATTAGGCTGCTCCTTGTTTTGCAAAATGTCAGTTTAAAAAAAAAAAAATCTAATGGGGCAAAGATTCGGTTGAGTACCCATGTTGAAGTTAACAGTTGCTCAAAACAACACATTTTAGAGCTAAAGGGAAAAGATGTTAACCAGTAATGGCCATCAGAGGGCAGTATATTCAAACTGAATTATTTCAAGAAGCTAGCTATGAATCTCTGATGTAAGAATGTAGTAGTTGAGAAAAAAGATGCCATAGCACCCCCCAAACTTTTGGCCACCAGGGACCAGTTCGGTGGAGAGGTTTTTTCCGCACACTAGAGGGACCGTGCTTTCGCATGCTGCCTGCATCCTGTGGATGGGGCTTTGCTTGTTTGCACGGTCCGGTTTCTGGCATGCTGCAGGGTTGGGGACCCCTGCCATAGCCCCAATCATAAAACAGCCAGTTGCAGTGAAGCTGTTAAAAATTGGTTTCTTTCTTGATCAGCAAAAGAAAGTATTCACCTACCTAAAGTGGAAGCTGCATCATCTTCACATCCCATGCTACCTGAAGAGGGAACAGAGCTGCAAATTTAAGAGAGAGAAGTAGTAGCTGCGTCCTTCCAGATAACTGGACAAGAAAGTTGAAAATCCAAAAATAATTCTAAGCAAAAGAATGGCTGAATTCCCCTCCAATAGTAAAATCTCTCTTATATGCCCAGCTATGACCAACAATCATCGAACAACCGCTATGTGTAAAGATTTTGACCCTGTCCACCTTTGACAACTGGAGTCAACCATTTCTTTAAAAGGGATAGGCTGAAACTAGCAAATCCTAGTGACTAGGTTAGGAGTCAACAATTAGCACCAAGGCTTTCCAAAACATAAATACAAATAACACTGAATTTTCAGAACTATTCTTTCATTCTGAAAAATCATTCTAAAATTTCTTACTAAACTAGTAAGAGTTGTGGGATGATAAGATAAGCCAAACTTACCCAACTGTAGATTCCAGGGGAGAAACAGTCACGGACTCTTCAGGAGGCTTTTCCTCACTTGGTGGGGAAGCTTGAAGGGGTGAAACAGTAGCTGCCATAGGCCCAGAGGAGGGCGTGGGTTCTGAGGTGGCTGCTGCATCAGTGGGTGAAGAAACAGGAGCTCCTGAGCCTGTTTTGTTCTTAACAGAAAACCAAAAGAAGTGTCTCAGGTAAGGAGGTGAAGCTCTTCCAATCTAAATTGCTGTATCATCAAGAAGGGTGAGCCTAAAAAACTGCTCTTTGTGTACTGATTAGTATTTTGAAAGTAATGTCTAACATATCTTTTGACTAGCCACCCCCAATCCTGAAGTACCTAACAGACTAATACCAGTACCCCATTTCCTAATAAAAATGATTAGCACTACCGGTATTCATCCAAAGGGAAACTGCTGAAACACAGTAGCCCTTTGAAACAAGAAAATCGTTATCATGAAGCAAAGGAGATGCTCAACCATACCTTGGTGACCATCACCACTACGAAGTTCTTCTCATCAATCTTGTATTCCTTGATGGGGACATCATCACTCAGGATCTTGCCAGCATATATAAGCTTCTGGCCTGACACGGGGAAAGCTTCCTTGCCCTTTTCAGCCTCAATCTTCTCCTTAAGTACTCGGACCTGTGGGTCAAGACCAAGCTGGCTCCACCATCCACCTTGTACTGCATGCTTATAGGCCAATTCTTTCTATCCCAACAGCGTTGAACTATAGATGCAAGTGCCAGATGAAGAAATGTGGCATGGAGAAGCTGCTGAATGCAAAGAGTGGGTGATGCATTCGGGGGTAGAAACTGAGAAGTGGCCTGAGTGCGAGAACTTTAAATGACACATCACAATAACTAATGCTTTTTGAAAACCCATTCCTATTCATTAGGAATGGCAATGGTTTCTATAAATTGTTAGAAAGACAATCCTATTGTCTCGAATCCCATCACTCCCCATCTCCAAACCAAAGACAAGGATATATGGAATTAATGTTTTTATTTTATTTCCAAAAGCCTTAGTTACATTGGCTAGGCACTGTTCTCTCAAAATTATGTTCATTCCTTCCTATTCAACAGGCCGACCTGAGAACTGTCTTTTAACAACCAATGTTCCCTTTGTTGAAATATAGTACTCTATAATCTGGGCAAAGAAACTATTTTGTCCCAGGATAATGTTGCAGCATCCATTCTGGGTCGGTCACCGGGACCAGAGTTTTTTTTTGTCTTCCAAGCTTTCAGACTCATTCTGGAGCCCAGCTTCAGGGAACTGCTAGAAAGTTCCCTGAAGTTGGGCTCCAGCACGAGTCTGAAAGCTCGGAAGATAAAACCTCTGGTCCCATGATCGACCAAGATTGGATCCTGCAAACTATTTTGTCCACGAAAACCAATAAAAGGTGAAAAGGTGAAAACTCGCCTTATTGATGAGATGGGTAGCATATAAATGTAATAAGTATGTCAGAAGTAAATAGTTTTTGTTCCAAACAGGAAAGTGCTGTTGAAGAATATAGAATAATAGTTATGTTGCATTATCCTTCCAGATTATATGGAATATTAATAGTTTCTTTCACTGTTCCAATTCATCTCAAAGGTACGAAAGATGAGGTCAAAGCAGACTTAACCTAACCTAATGTTTTTGGTTTTTTTTTCCAAATGTGTTGGCCCAACTCTTGGAACCACCAACAAGCATGATCAATTTCCAAAATATCAGAAAAACTCCAGATTATGATCGGCAAATTTTTCACACAAGGTAAGTACTATTAAATGGAACAAAGACTAAATTTTATTACATCATTATTCTGAGACATACTGAAAAATATACATGTAAAGTGCACAGTTATTTCTGTTACTTCAGATTAATCAGGTCATTACATAGAAACACCTCCCACTTATGCAAAGAAGAACCCTCCAATTATTGAATTGCTTAATGGCATATTAAGAAGTGTTGCATGCTACAATTCTATCTCGCAATTACACTCGAGTACAGAAACTGAGTACAAATTTCATTTGCTGTGATACTAGAAGACATGGAGGGTTGTTCATCAAATGTAATACAACAGTATTCATCATGAATATACTCTCTGTTGCAAAACTGAAAGATTATGTGCAATGATAGATAATCCAAGCATCACAATCTTGAATTTAAAATATCTTTAAAATAAGGTTTTGAAGTAGTACTCTTCTGATTTTGTCTACTTACATATTCAAAGTGTGAACTCCCAGTTTTAAATCTTTCAGGGCCATATTGATGGGGATTAGCATCTATGGCTAAAAGATAGTAAATAATGTTTTGGGCATATTCCAATTTTACTGATCAGTTCACTAAGGTGCAGAAATCTTTATATACCGTACATACAGACATACGTTTAATGTAAAGTCCTAAAGACACCTTCTGTTTTCAAAAAGTTAGAATGAAAACAGTTAATCTGTGGAAGGTATTGTTAAAAACCTAGCAAAATGTGAAGATGACAATATGGAAGCTCTGAGCTAATATACATGTTCTCTCTCCTTATGTATTTTAACTTTTAAAATTCCTGATGCTGGCAGAACTCTTATGCAGCAGTGGCCAAACATTCAATTCTCATTCTTCCTGGCATAGACAATAGCAATTGCTGTCTAGGTTCCAAATTGTGAAAGAGAACGTTGCTTAATATTAAAGGCACTTTCTGAACTGAAATAGGTGCTCTTATAGCAAAAGCATCCAAATGAAAAGAATGTTTTGTTTGTGTGTGTATGAACACAAATATTCAAGTTTTACAACAACTTTATAACTTGAATGTAAAGAGATAATTAAGACCAAACTAGAAATAGGATAAGTGCAAGTCTTACTCATTTGCAACAACAGATGTTGCACATAATCAATGAATTTAAGGACTAGAAGAGACTTAGAGATAATCTAATCCAGGGGTCCCCAAACTTGGCAACTTTAAGACTTGTGGACTTCAACTATACTGGCTGGAGAATTCTGAGAGTTGAAGTCCACAAATCTTAAAGTTGCCAAGTTTGGAGACCTCTGATCTAATCCAACTCCTGCCCAGTTCAACCACTGATTTGTAACTTAAAGCATTGTGTTTACTAGAAAAAAGTCATAAATTACTCTTGACCCAATTATTTTCTGTATGTATTGTTTTAATATCTGGAGTCATTTCAACATAATTTCATTAAAATAGGTTTAAATCTGACAAATCACTATAATTCTGCAACAAAAAGGCCAGAAAAGAAAGCCACAGAATTCATTGTAAGTAATGTTTTCACAATTGAAGAAAAGTTGATAAATAGGAATGCCATCGATCAAGAAACCTCATACACCTTATATGGGAGACCTCCAAAACCATTCTAAGTAGAATGGAAACACTAATGGTTTTAGGAAAGAGGAATATCAAGAAAGGTGTGATTGGAAATTAACTCTCAGAGGCAAAAAGAGAATGTTAAAAAACAGAAAATATGTGGGCACGGTGAAAACAAGGATGATAAGAAGTATAATTATCTTGGTTAGTCTTTTTTCTTATATCTTTCTCTTGGTTATTAATTACTACTGTATACACGATTTCCTGGCACTTTGCATAATACAACACAACCCCAAAAAAGGAATAGCATGATGAGTTATATATAACCCCCCCCCCCCCAGACAACGTATCATTTCATTTCAGGATTAGAAATGAAGGCTAAATATCATACTAAATCAGAAAATAATGGAACAGCTTTTAGTTATCTGCCTCCTTCGTGGAAAGAAGCCGCATGAAAACCGGAACAACAGCACGCTGTTACAGTGTGGGACTTCAAGAGGAAATGAAGAAAAAAGCAGGATTGTTAATCCTCAGCAGCCTCGAACTGCAGAAACACAACAGAGAATGAGATGCCAAGAGTTATGGGAAGGGAGAAAAGGAACCACTACTTTCCTTACGTGACTGGCTGGTTAGCATGTTCTCCTTTTAAAGGAGTGACATCAGGAGAGACAGATTAGAGGCAGATTCCCAGACAGGGAAAGCAGAGCAGGGCGAAATAAATCCCCTCCCAAATGAAACACCGGGAGCGAAATGCACTGAGAAGCAAAAGAGGCGCTTGTTCAAAGATGATTTCGGCGGAGGACCCGTAACTGGGGGGGCGGGGGGGGGAGGACGCACAGACTACACACGGGAGGAGGGCCGGAAGAGGAGAGGACCAAAGACCCGCCGCCCCTCACCGTCTCGTCAGGCTCCATTCGGATCTTGAATGTCTGCTGTTGCAGAGTCTTCAGGGTGACGGTCACCGCCATGGCGAGAGTTGGCGGAGGGAGGCTGCGGCGAAAACTGGCGGTTCCTCCCAACGGACTCAGCGGAGGCCCCCCCACAACATGCAACTTCACGACGACGCCATTTTACGCGCACTTCGCGCCGCTTCCGCTCCCAGCCTGACTCTTCCCACGTGATGAGAGACAGGAAAGAAGGCTTCACCATAGAGACGGAGAGGAGCTACGGGCCGCTTCTCCACATTGCTCGGCTTCCGGATTGTCTTGGGATTTAGTGTTCGGCGTACGGCTCCCGGGAAGGGTTGGTGCGCGGACCATCGGCGGCGTTCGACTGCGAGAGGGACGGCAGCTGGCGAAGCGGTAGATAGACCAGACTCGGGGTCAGCCGATCCAGGGCTTATTTCCAAACATTAACCGCATGATTAGCTGCGTAACCAAAACTCTCCGACTCTTGTTCAAAGTTGAGCTTTTACTTGCATACACAAGATTACCCGCATTCTTCATATCAAACTGTTGTAGTCAAATTTGCAATTTATATTCTCAAAATTCCACAATGGTTAGCTGTTCTCAAAATATAAACTACTATAAGGGTCATATACTACTATATATTTTTCCATTCCATTGTATTTCTCAGACATTGCAGTTTTCTTGGCAAGGTTTTTCAAGTGGTTTGTTAGCTCCTTCCTAGGGCTGTGACTGGCCCAAGGTCACCCAGCCGCTTTGTGCCTAAAGCAGGATTGGAACTGACGATCTCCCAGTTTCTAGCGGGATGCCTTAACCACCACTCCGAACTGGCTCTCCGAGGATCTGGTATCACCATGCATTAGAATACCAAAAACCTTTGTTAAACCGCATTTCCGGTCTACCCCAATCAATAAAGACAACAAAAGATCAGCATATGGGCCAGACAGTGAAGTTTAATTTAATAGAAATTTTCTTCAATCTTCCATACATTCAAGTGTGAACAAGTGGGATGACCCATCTGATACTGTTCTTTCCACCTCCAGAAACCCCTCCCACCCTTCCTCTCTGCCTGAAGAGAGACCTTTTACATGTAAACACCCACCCCAAATCCTACTCTTATCTTCCTGCTGGGGCTCTAGAACCCCTCCCTGAACAACCCAACACCCAAGGAAATAGGCTAAAAGCTAGAATGCAGAATTAAAAATTAAATTTGCTCAGTACACTGTGCTTTTGAAGAACCTGATCTGTATAGTAGGCACAGAAGGACGGTGCCTATTCCCTGACTGGAGTCAGGATCTCTCGATATCAATACCACTGGCCTTACAAATGGTGTAATACTGGTTATCTCAATTTAATGTCTTTGAAATCTGGAGCTATCTATGCTACACCAAGCCCTCCCACCGCCCCACCCAACACTCCCCTGTACCTTCAAAGGATAAAGGCAAACTTTAGATGGACACAAGAGTTTTGCTTTTTACATCCATTGAGAAGGGCTAGTTAGAGGCAAATTTTTACTGCAAAAGTGGCCACAAAGAGGGGAAGGGTCAATGGTATTATTTCCCTTTCCAAGGGCTGTATTCCTACAATTAGCCTTCTTCTGATGCAGGTTCTAGTCCCCCATTCCCCCCTACACACATGAATGAGTAATTGATGATATTTGGGAAGGAGTTAAGACAAACACACCAATAAAAAAGAAAGTTCTTGTGTCTCATAGAGACATAACTGTTATCCCCTCTCCTTAGTTGGGTTCAACTGCATGGTACAAGTCCAGGGCAAGGCTCAGCCAATAAGTATACCCAACAACCCCCAATCACAGCTCGTCCTTCAATGGGCCCTCTGTTTCATCTTCATCTTCCTCCTTTTCTTCCTCCTCCTCGTCTTCTTCCTCTTCATTATCTTCACCCTCGGGTTCCTCTTCTCCTTCTCCTTCCTCTTCTTTCTTCTTCTTATCTTCTTCTTCCTGCTTCTTCCGCTGGTCCTCGTCTTGCTGCTCTTTCATTTTCTTTTCAGCATCCTAATGAGAATTTAAAAGGAAATACATTATTGAATCAGGACTTGCTGGAGAAAGCATCACAGCAAACAGGACCAGGCAAGGTTTTGTTTTTTTTTAAAAAAAAAATAAGGATTTAGTGAGACAGATTGGGCAAGAGATAAAATCTGGCTCCAAGTTATCCTTGCTTGACTGAGGATGGTCTTAAAATTACATTTCCTTAGCTAAATGTATCCTGAGAATACACAAGAGATTCTAAACCAGTACTTTCCAACTTCTGCAATCTTGAATGTATGGACTTCAATTCAACTCTCAGAACTGGCTGGGCCATTGCAAAGAATCCTAAAAGGATTATCTCAAAGTTGCAAAGACTGGGAAACAATGTTTAAACAAACAGACTGACATCTAACAGAATTTGGAGAAAAATCTGACTGCTGTGGGAACAAACTTGAGGACACAACTCAAACTAGTCTATGATGGCTTTTTTTTTTACAGATTTATATCCCATTCTTTGCCTAACGTATTTCAGAGACAATTCACCAACAAAAAAGCCTTTAAAAGGTTTTTGTAAATGTATTTTGCTATTAATCAAAATGCAAAATACTTTCTGGAGAAATATAACGAGAACTTTAATCTCAGCCTTTAAGATATCAAGTCTCTCACACATTCATGTATGCTTTCATACAAGGAATAGGATTTGGGCCAAGTCACTAAGTAACAGCTTGGTTCACATCCATTTCCGAAGTTCAAAATCTTAAACATTTGAGAACAAGGAAGAGGTTTCTAATTCCTAAATTTTATAAAAGCCAAATATTATTTCTTATCTATGAAGAAACATTTCTCACCTTAGTAGCACCCCATGTTTCATTGCCAAATTCTTCAGCAAACTTCTCATCATCAGTAATCAGGAAGTTGTCAAAAATTGTGCCAGATTTCACCTAAAACACAAGGAAGAACTGTGTTACAGCTAAAGCTTGCCAACATTTTGATGATTTCTCAAACTAAATGATGGAAGATACTACTCAGCATAACATTCATTCCTATTGGTTTCTGACCACAATTCAAAGTGCTTCTGATGGCAATTGCCAAGCATCTGAATTTTAATCATGTGACCATTGGTATGCTGCAATGGTCCTGTGAAAACAATCATAAGTCACTTTTTTCAGTGACTTAACTCTAACGGTCATTAAATGAACTGTTATAAATCGAGGGCTACCTGTTTAGACTAAAGGGGAATATTTATTTTATAAGTACAAACTACAAAATGTCTTCATTTAGTGATTGTCTCATTTAGTGACTTTTCAAGTTACTAGGGTGATGAAAAAGTAGGTTTTACAACCAATTCTTGCATTTACAACCTTTGCTGGTCTGTAATGCAAAAGAATCAGAAATTAAGATAAGCAGTTTTCACTTAACAATTTTGCTTAACAACCAAGTTGCCAGTCACTAAACAAGGACTACCTGTATAGTAAATTGCAGATTTAGAAATGATTTGCTATTTAATGTACTGATAAAGTTTCAAACAGATACTTTTATTGTATTTTACAATAATTTTGTTCTCATATAGAATAATACCTTAAAATATTGTAAGTCTCCCAGAATAATACAGGAACTAAAAAAAAAATTCAGAATAATTCGTAGTAGTCTATTATTAGGACCAAAGATTCATTCTTTCAAGCTTTCAGGCTTGTGCTGCAGCACATGCTCAGGAAATTTCTCTCTCCAGAATGTGTGCACTGGGCTATTTTACTAGCTGTATTTGTATAGTGCCTGATCATGCATGGCTTTTAGTTAATTAAGATGTTGACAACTAGCCTGGTTCCTTAAGTATCTGGTAAGCTAGTGGTAAATCAGCACTCCTACTGACTGACAAGGAGCCCCATTCCCAGGCTTCAATCATTTCTCTGGCTATTTTTGTCCCTGCTCAAGCCATCAATCAATCTTACGGTAGTAGTTGTGAATTGAACGTATGTCCTTGTTCATCGCAATGTAAGGCTATCAATAAATTTTTATCTCACCTAACCGCTAATAATGATCGAAACATAATTTGTAGTTTTTATAAGATACAATCCTCAATCATCAGAACAGTTACTTGAGTAGTTTGGCTTCCCACTTTTCAAAAGGTTTGTTGGAAAACAAGCAAGAACTTACCTGCCACAAGTCCAAGCCAATAACACCGAAGTTCTCATAAAAGTACAGATTAGGATCAGGGGTATATTCAGGATTATCTATCTCGGGATGAATCCACTTTCCTTTGTAGCTGGGGTTATCAATTTGACGAGGTTTCCATTCTCCCTGTGAAACATTGAGTGTTTTAAAATGGAAAATTCAGAATACATCAAATTCTATAGCATATAGGGGTGGCAATATCCAGCATTTGCTACTTAAGCATGTATGTATAAAATCAGTCAATCCCCTTCTGTGGTCTGCCCCAAATGTCTTACACACCCAATTGGCTTCCAATAAGTGCTCCTCATCTGGGAACCTGGACCTGAAACATTAACCTGGGCCACTCTGGGTTATGAGACACCAAGGAGTCTCTTTGACGTGAGCAACCTTCCAAACACCCAGAGAAAAAAATTGTTCATATTCATACCAAGCTGGATACCAGACACGAAAACACAGAGTTAATGCACTGTGAAATAATGCAGGATTCTTTCAATCCTGGAATACCTAAGGCAAGGGTGTGCAGCCTTAAAACACTCAGAGCCATTGGACCAGTTTCCCACAGAAAACAAAACACCGGGAGCCACAAAACGTGGGTAGTTGTGGCTAACTCAACTTACTCCCATCCAGTCACATGACTGTCTCTCTTTTTCCCACATTCTGTCTATCTCTTTTCCCCCCCTCTCTTTTCTCTTTCCCTCCCCCCCCTTCCTTTTTCCCTTTTCCCCCCTTTCCCCCCCCCCCCTTTCTGTCTCTCTTCCCCCCCACTTTTTCTCTCTCTCCCTCCACCTCCCTTATGTGTGTGTTTGTGTGTGTTCCCTCTTGAACCATTTCCCAAAACTGGCAAGGGCTGTTTGTTTTGCTGATGTTTGTATTTCTTTTGTTTCGTTCTTCTCTGGATGCTTTTTACAATATGATTTAAATCAAGAGTCATTTCAACTTCCCAGATAAATGAAGCTCTTTTGTCCCCCTACTGTAGTTCCCCGTCAGCTGAACCACCGACTGGCCTTGCCCCTCACCCTCTCCTCCGTTACTTCTTGCCTGGCCCG